GCTTCAGACGGTGCGTTGTTATCTTTTGCTATCTTTTCATCAAGCTGAGTGTACCTTTCGCCAATCTTGTCATCCAACATCCACTGGCAGGGAGCCCGGTTTCTGTATGATGGAAAAGGAGATTATGTGACTATTGAACTGCTCTCCAAACCAAGTAAAGTGGGGATTGAGAGTCATACTGCATGTGACTAATCTGAAGATGAGATAGAGAAGGGATTATTTAGAGGATATGAGAATGATCCTGGTGAGAGGCAGGGCGACAGAACTAGAAAGAGGAAAGTGAAGAATGAGAGTATTGTCGTGTGGAGGGCGGGGAATATAACAATTACTAGGAAGAGACCACCTTGCTGGTAGCGACCTAGGTAACCAAGTAGAAACAAAGTTGGACAGGTAAGGAAGATGTATATTTCAGTGGTGGTTGATGCCTATATGTACAAGATAAGTGAACGAGGAGATAAGGTCCTTAACTAGAACGGGAAGGGCAGGCAGTCGAGACGGTGGCTGTAGATTTTTGATAGATAGATAGATAGATAGATAGGTAATAATCTGTTGGACTTTATGTACTGTACATACTGTACTATATATACTATACAACTTTATGATAGTATAGTAATAGTATATCTATCTTGTAGTAGTGTGTACTACTACATGTAGCTACCACTATGTGTGCAAAATAAATAATACGTCTGGAAGAATAATTACTTAAGAAGCACTGGACTAAAATTGCATGCTCTGAGTTTTGGATTATTATTTATTTATTTATCGATTCCCTGCCTGCCTGCCTATCTGTCTGTCTGTCTGTCTCTCTGTCTGTCTGTCTGCTAGAAACGATCTGTATAACACTCACTCACTCACTCACTCACTCAATCAACCAGGCGCGTAAATTATGAATTTAAAGAAGGGGAAGACACAACATCTCCATGGCTGGTGGTGGACGACTTGGACTTGCTGATGCAATTGCACTGTGATGGGAGAGTGGATGGATAGAATAGAATCATCAAGGATCAGGGGGACTGAGGAAAAATGGAATAGGGAAAACGCAACCGAATAGAAGCAGATTGCTAAATTGTAAGGAAATATCGTCACCACCGGAACCCCGCACCAGAAGAATCAAACCCGCTTCAAACCTGTCCCAATTTCAATCCATGCACGCGCTGCGAGAAAAAGAAAGAGAAACAATGCCAACACAGATCGCCGCGTGAACTGTATCTGTATGCTCGTTGCTAAGGACAGCAGAACGACGTCGCTTTATGCAATGGCAGATGAACTGAACACCGCAAATCGGCATGTCGGTCACAGGAGAAAGTCATTCCGGACATTGATAAACGCCCCAGCGCCGCCATCTTCGCTAATCTCGTTGACCAGTGCCTCGGTCTGCTGATATAACCTCTCCAACGCGGCTGAAGATGACTTGCCCAGTGACACTGTTCCCGTTAGTCGAGAAGCCCAGACTCGAAGAAAGGGCGTCTCTCACCTAATATCGCGGAATTGAGCTCCTCCGCTACGGCCACCCGTCCCGCAGGGTCCAGGTAATGCCCGTGGACGGACGACTTGGGGTCGGAATAGGCCACCAGCGAGAAGATGTCATTCAACAGCTCCTTGTCGCCTCCACTTTCGTCGGATGGATAGTCCATCCGCAGCTGCTGGCCGTACTGGACCGCCTCCGTGAGCAGCTCGTGGAACTTGGCTGTCGAATCGGGTTCCTCGGTATCCATGCCATCCGCGTCCGAATAACCGTCCTGCATCTGGTCGTCGACGTCCATCTCTTGCTCAAAGACCTCATTGCCGTCGTGAACGGCGCCATTCGAGGTCTTGGCTCGTTTCGAAGAGGCGTTCGACAGCTCGTTGCAGCGGCGCATCATCTCGAGGAATTTCCGGCATCGTAATTTGAAGTGGATGCGCGGGTTATCCTTCAAGACGTTGGGGTAATAGGCATTGGTGTATTTCAGTGCTTTGTCGATATCTCCATCCAAGATGGCAGATCGAATTTCTGTAGTTTTGAATCAGTAATCAACCTTGCAACTTGCAGAAATTGTACCTACTTTGCCGGTTGGTGGCATCCAAGTCCTCCTCGGCTTCATACTGATTGAGCGGTCGCCGGCCGTTCTGGAGGCTACTGTTCTCCTGCTTCACTTCCTCTGCAAAGGCGCGCGCCGTTTCGACGTAGCCATCGTGGGCCAGAAACTGTGCCACAAGCTCCTGGACGAGAGCCGTCTCGTCCAGAGGGGGTTGTAAATTCGCCGCGCTAGTCAGACTGACTTCTGAAAGAATGGCAGCCTTTTCTTTCTACATGGAGATGAGTGGGAGTTCAAACGAAGGAAGCGCAGAGTAACCCACCTTGACGAAGCCGTCGATGTCAAAGATAAACGGCTGTTGGCCAAAATTGGCACTTACATGCACATTCGGCTGTTTCTTCATTCCGACCGACGGATACAGCTTCACATCTCGGAGCTCCCTGAAGGCGTTGCCTGCACAAGCGTCAGCTCGATTTCTAACCAGGTTTCTCTACGACAACGATCAAAAAGATAGTCATACCTAGAAAAACGCCGTTTTTGGTGAAAAATGCACACCCTGTCGAGAAGTTGACGCCGCACCCGATGGTATCGTTGACAGTAAACGTCGGACCGTACGGCCGGCCCTGTCCCTGATTCTCGCCAAAGAAGGACTTCCCATCGTCGCCATGGTAAGCCCAGGATTCTTGCTCCCAGCCGGGAAGCCGCTCGACGGAGGCCTTGGTGCTAGAAAAGCCGACTCCGATCATCCTGTCGCCTCCCAGTCAGCAGGTCACAGTGGTTCCCTTGTGATTTTCATACATACCCCTCTTTCGACTTGGACAGGATGGTCACTTCAAAGTAGTAGATGCCACACTGGCGTGGCATGGGATGATCTGCACGCACAGCGGCAGCCTCGTGGTCGTGCTTGTTGGGAGGACCCATATACCGCACCTCCAACCCATCGTTCAGCAAGTCGAGTCCGGAATACTTATCGGACTCGTTCCACCGGGACGGCAGAGGGGTGAGTTTGTCTTCATCACTCGAAACTTCCTTCTCGACGATATCATAGGTCATGCCCCGGTGAGAGGGCGCCATGCGATGCAGGTTGACATGGCTGGACGAGGCCGAGAGGGGAGCAGACGGGTTTGCAGCGGCGGTGGCCTCCCGCTGGGCGGCGGCCAGCTTGGATCGATGGGCAGCCTCGAGCCGGGCAACATATCGGGAGTTGCGGAGGTAGGAGGGAACGAAAAAGGAGCGGTCGAGCGAGGAGGAAGCGGACGTAGCTAGACCAGCGGGCAGATAGTTGGCAGCATAGTCGGGGATGTTGGCGAACTGCCTCGAGTAAGCCGGTAAGGAACCGCCCGAACTCCGCCAACCGGCGCTCCCTGCGCCATGATTCATCTGCATCTCTGCATCCGTGGCTGGGAAAGACGTGTAGGAGCGGCTGCCAGGGCCGTCGGAGGCGTATTGCGGGGGGTAGGAGGAGGAGGAGGAGGAGGAGGAGGAGGTCGTCGGGGTAGTGGTAGCGGTGATGGTGGCGGCGGCGGCAGCAGCTCCGCTGGCGGCGTGGTGGACGGTGTTGCTGTTGAGGAGATGAGCAAAGGCCCCAGAACGCTGGGGAGCAGACGCGCTGGCAGCACCTGAGACGACGGAGGCGTATGACGAGCGACGAGGGACGGAGGAGATGCTTGGGCCGGGCAGATATGAGGATGAGGCGGGTGCTGGAGGAGCTCCACCGGAGCCTGAGGGAAACGGGGCATTGGTCATGCTGGCGTCGTGTGCCGCAGCAGCAGCAGCAGCAGCAGCAGCAGCAGTAATGGCAGCACAGCAGTAGGCACACAGCACCACCACGCCGTCGCCAGAATCGTCCTCAGCAGGAGCTCACGAGCAGACGCTCAGCACAACACGCGATGGCCCTGCTGGGCCCCGTGGGCATCTGATCGATCGCAGCTGGCTGGGGCCTCACGCGAGCGGGACGGTGATGTCAGTGCAGCACCGGTTCCTGGCCGCGACGGTGGGTAGCAGCAAAGCAGATAAGCTTAGTCGCCAGGGACCTGTCAAGTGCAGATCGAGTAGAGGACTTTGTGCTGGACGTCTTGTCGTCGAGAAAGCAGAGGCAGACGCTGCTGTCGACGATAGCAGGACACGGGCTCTGCTGATGCCGGGCACGCGGTTCCCGGAACGGAGAGAGGGCGACCAGAGGGGCGCAGCGAAGGTGGCTGGAGTCCTCGACCTACAAAGAGGACAGGAGAATTAATTAATCCAGCAGAGTGCCTAGCAGGACTACAGGAACGAGCGGACAACAAAGACGAGCAGGGAAGAGTGAGGGTCAATGGCCAGGAGAACGTGATGCAGAGAGGGATCTCCTGATCCTGGTCCGCGCCGTCACTCGGAGACTCGCAGGAGGGGTTCCTTGGTTACCATCATCAGAAATGTCTCTCTCACACTTCTTCCTCCTTCTTATTCGAGCGTATCCAACGGCCGCCGCTCAGCACGATGCGGGGAAGCCCGTCTGGCGGCCAGAATGGCTGAGCTGCCAATCACCGGCCTCATCCAGACTTTGATCTGGGGATGCGATGCCCGTGTCTTACTTACGCACGTGACTGCTGCCAGGAAGAGCAGTTTTCCAGTTACTGTCGTCCTCCTGATGGCAGTAGACAGCTGTCTGGCAGGAGGATAATAATTATGACCGTGGCATGGACGCCTTTCACCTGGCAGGCTCAGCTGACCTTCCGCAGCCGGCCAGGGGAAGTTGAACCGTCTGTGGCGCCGGCCAGCCGTCAGTCCCCGCATGCCGGCCATGGATGGAAAGGTGAGAAGACAGTGCTTAGTACAGTAGATTATGAGTTGAGATTATGAGTTGATCGTTACTATGCGAGTATTCGTATAGCATTTGTATGTACAGATCATAAATATTCTATGTACGGAGTATTCTATATAAAATGCCATGTTTCATGAGGACCAGCTCCCTGGAAGGAAGTATCCTAGGTAATTACTCCGGATCCGCAATCTTCAGAATCGCCTTGCCGAAATTCTCGCCCCGGAGCATGGCGACAAAAGCATCTGCAGCATGGTCAATGCCTTCGGTGATGTGTTCCTTGCTCTTGATCCTGCCCTCTTTGAGCCACTACAGACGAGACCAGTCAGTGAGTTGCTCTCTCAGCAGACATTATTCAGTCGACTCACCGCTGCAATCCGCTCGTTCCTCTCCTTGAAATACTTGGGTCCAAAGCCCGGGTCGCCGACGATGAAGCCCTGCATCTTGAGCCGCTTTGCGACGATCTGGAACAGGTTCTTGACCCCGTAGCGCTGGTCGAGCGGGAGATTGTACTGGGAGACCATTCCGCAGGCAACTAGATAGCCGTCAGACTGGTCCAAAAGAAGGAGGAGGAGGAGGAGGAGAAGGAGGAGGGAAAAGACAGGAATGATTACCAATTCTCCCATAATTGTTCATCGCGTCGAGCGCCGCCTCGAGCTGCTCTCCGCCCACGTTCTCGTAGTAAATGTCAATGCCCTGAGGCGCCAGGCGCCGCAGCGCATCGGCCGGCTTCTCCTTCTTGTAGTTGAAGCCGGCATCAAAGCCCAACTCGTCGAGAATGAAGGCCAGCTTGCGGTCATCGCCCACGCTGCCGATGACGCGCAGACCTTCGAGCTTGGCGATCTGGCCGACAATCTGGCCCACGGCGCCGGCAGCCGAGGAGATGAAGATGGTCTCGCCCTTCTTGGGCTGGCCGATCTCGTACAGGCTCGAGTACGCTGTCAGGCCCGTCATGCCCAGGATGCCGAGGAAGTTGGACAGCGGCACGCCGTAGGGGTTGTCGACCTTGCGTGTCTGGTCCCAGTCGAGCACCTCCCGGGGCACGGCGCTGTACTCCTCGACGCTGAACCGGCCGAAGAGGATGTCCCCCTTGCGGTACTGCGGGTGGTCCGAGACAAGCACCTGCGCCAGCGCGTACGCCGTGACGGGCTCCCCCAGCGTGTACGGCGGCGAGTAGGACGGGATCCTGGGGTCGCGCATCCGCCCGCGCATGTACGGATCCAGACTGCTGTACAGGTTCTTGGTGATCACCCCGCCGGGCGGAGGGGCCTGGTTGAGATCAAAGGATCGTGCCTCGACGGCGAGGTGTGTGCCCACCTCCGGCCAGGCGGTGGGGGTTCTTTGAAGATGAGCCCTTTGTTCTGCACCTGCATGTCGATCTGCTTGCAGTCTGCTTTCCTGGTCAGATTGATTCTTGGAAGGGAATACAGGTGGGATGAACCACTACTTACGTCCAAGTAACTTGGAATACTACAGATTATAAAGAAGTTGAAGCGAAGCGAAGCTACAACAGAGAGGGTGATACGAAATAACTCGACGAAATAGGCAGGTGGCGTATACAAGCCTACAACACGATTATTAATAATACAAAAACCGCAAATAAAAACCACAAAAGTTGTCGCAAGCAAGTACCGAATGACGTTAATTAACCTCGGCCGAATCGATAAATTCTCCTCTGTTTGTGCAATACCTACAGATCCCGATCTGATCTGCCAGAAAAAAATTAGTTAGATTCAGGTTACCTACCTACCTCTCTCCCTCCCACCTTGTTGTCAATTTTTTGCTTATTAATTTGTGTACAGTGTAAATACAGTATACTGCACGTTATTAAAAGAAAAAGGGAAGATACTAGAAAAACCACAGAACATTATCTGATTTCATTCGCTATCCCTGTCCCTAATTACTGCACAGTAGTAAGTCCATTAGGTAGGTACATCACTAGGTAGGTAGGCAGGTAGGTAGCAACTAATAATAATATCTAATCACAAGCTCTTCTCCCTAGATACCTTAGGTACCTGGCAGATCTAGATAGATTAGGTAGATGTCAGGTGATCAGATCAACCAAGGGTAAGTAAGGTATGCATAGCGTGCAGGCTGCAGCTAGCTGTATGCTTAAGCGGAGACAGTCAATACCTTTTGAATTGAATTGAAAGGAGGCCTGGAAGAAAAAGAGAAAGGGAGCGAGTGATGGAAAGACAAAAGAGGAGCATGTGGCAGCTTGACTGACTGACTGACTGACTGACTGATAGTGGTGATGATTGAGAATAGAAATCTCACATTTTTTTTTATTTTGACAATAACTATTATTGAAGAATAATAAAAAGAAAATGAATTTCAATAAGGGTGTGAATTGAATTTCTTGTCAGTGCAGTTGACTAACGGATGGTTGTTCACTGCTAAGTCGGCTATTCTACAGAGTCCGTAGTATCAGTGTGATCTACCAGTATTCATCTTGGATATGCAAATGCAAGCAAATAGCATTGCTAAATTCGAGCTTCCGTCTTTTTTTTGATCATATCATATCTCGCCATCTTCAATCAATCAATCGCAATAATAAATAAAATAGCCAGCTGGCATCGACGGAGGAACCAAGCCTGGCTGGTAGGAGGCTGGTAGTGGTGGTACAGTACAATGTATGTAAACACAAGTCCCAGAACACCCTCGCAGGGAAACAAGACCCAATCACAATCACAATCACAACACAATCCCCAGTAAGAACCGGTCTATCCCTATCACACATGATTCCTTTTCATGGTCTTTTTGTTTTGAAGCAAACCCCAGTCCCGCTGACCAATGATTAGCAACAACACACAAAAAAAAGCTCGAATAAATAAACATTGAACCATAACGCCAGCACGAAAGGTTAAAAAAGTATGGTATCACAATAATGTACACAGAAGGAAAAAGGTTACCACGACCGGTATCGTGCCGGCAGTGGTGGATTGGTAGATCATGCGGCCATGGTGATAGTAGGTGCCGGTGAGTCTGTCACGCTCGCCGGCAGCGGGGTGAGGTCCCCGTCACCGAGGTTGCTCTTCTCACTGGGCGCGGCGCTGCCAGTTTGGTTGGCCTTGCTGTCGCTGTCTCCGTTCTCGACAATACCCTCTTTGGCTTCCCCGTTGGGCTTGTCGGACTTCTGTGGTTTAGGAGCACGCCAGGTCGGGAGCTCCCAGACGACACCGGTGAAGCTCTTCAACTGGAACGGCTTGCGCTCCCACCGGCGACACGGCGTTCCACTCCGGTCGAGAGCGCGCAGGCCGGCATTGATGGCGCCCTGGTTGGCCTTGGGGCCCAGTTTGTGTGTAGTCGGAGCGAGTCTGGTGGTATCAACCGTTCCATCGTCCCTGAAATCAATCCAGTCAGCTGTTGGTCCTTATAGGGCTACAGGGAAATCACATACAGTCTGGGCTTCTTTTTCGGACCCGGCTTGCCTCTTGGCTTGGGCCCCAGATCGCCGTTCTGGGTGAGACCTCTCTTGTTTCCGGGCTTGGGTCCTGGCATCCCTTTCCTGCGGGCCCCATCTGCTCCAGCAGGGGTAGAGGGTGCGTCGGAGGCATTGTCGACGGACGAGGCGGGAGGCACGGCGTCACCGGAGGTGGACGAGGGCGGCGATGACATGTCCTTCGGCCTGTCCTTGTCCTCAGACGGCGTGCTGGAGCTGGGGAAGCGAGCTAGCAGACTAGACGGGAGCTTGAGGACAATGGACCGGCCGGAACGACCGTTGGTCGAGGGGGAGGCGGAGGAGTTCGAGGCAGGCATGTCGAGAGGTGACGTTTTCAGTATTGTATCTATCCTGCCAGGAGGGAAGCTCTGACAAGCTCTAAGCTTGGCCTTGTTGCCTGTCAGTCGAAGGATGAAGTCCTATTCGACCCGCTTGGCGATCGTAGAGGCAGAGGAGGAGATGCAGAAGAGCAGGACGGTGAGAAAAAGTCCGGCGTGCTGGCGTGCGTCCACCACGGGATCCGGCGTGGGTGGATGACTGCAGGCTGGGATGGTGGGTAGGTGCGGCGAGTCTCTTGGTCACGACGAGGCAAAAGTCAGGGTGAAGGCTAAGGCGAGGGCGCGGCTAGGGATGGGCGGTCGCATAGCCTGGCGGAGAAAAGAGAGGATGGAGGTGACGATGACGATGGTGGTGATGTGGTGATGGAGGAGGAGAGGAAGAGAAAGAAGAGAAGGGCCGGGCGGGAGGAAAGGGATGGGGATGAGGATGCGGATGGGGATGGGCGCGTGTTCGTTTCATTGTGGTTTGGTTCCTCGTCTCTGAATTAGATTAGCACACACACGACGCTCTGCTGCCGTCGGTCAGGGAGAGTTGGAGAGAAGGGTGTTTGCTGGCGGCCCTGCGCGCCGTGGGACGCGGACAGTCTGGGACCGTACCGTACCGGCTGACTAAGATAGATTACCTCCAAGCCCGCAACGGCCACGCTGCGTCGCCCACACAAGCCACCCGGCGGCATGATCGTCCTGACCGTACATGACCGTCACGTACCAGACGCAGCCGCCCGGCAGCGTGCATCGCAGCCTTTCGCATCCCAGCTGAATTGACCGAGGGGCTGTGTCGTCTGTCGGATCGTATCGCTGTTATTGTTATTTTCTTTTCACAGTCGATGGATTGATGCACCGTTTCTGTCGCTGCTGGTCCGGGCCTGCGGATCCCGTCCAGCTTCGATTGCTCTTCGACCCAGTTCCGCAGTCCCCGGATCGAGACGTCTTAGAGTTTCCCTCACGCCTATTGTTGCCCCTTGGACTTGGCCCGGTCCACAGCACGCAGCGAGGCATCGCAATCGCCATGCACCACCGCCGGCAGCACGAAAGGCGCTGCGTCATCATCACCATCAGGACTGCGTGCCCGTCCAGCGTACAATTACAATTGCAGCTTCCACCGACAGGGCAAAGGACCGCACGCGACGCGATTCGACGTAATATTTCCTCTTTGGGCATCCTCAATGTGCCCCGTCTTCTGATCGATCCAGCCCAGCCTTGCCGCCCTTCAGGATCCTCTGCGGCCCTTTCTCGGAGCTGACTCTATAGACTAGCGAATCTCCCACGTCGCCACCCAACCCGGCGACCCGTCAACCGCACAATGAACTAATATCACTGCACCTATCAGGGAGCGCGAAACCAGCGTCTCAGGCACTCACATGGTTTGCTTCGAATGTCAAGACCTTTCTTCTCCAGCCTATATAGCCTACTAAAAGGGTTAGACGGGGAAGAAAAAGAACAATTCACTTAAAATGGATAGCTGACGACGTATGGAGTATGTACTGTGTGTATGTACACTCGAATCGTATTATCTAGGGTCCTTCAGAAATATATGCTACCTACAGTTTATCGCAATGCTGGGCCTGATACCCAGCCATACAATTGTCTATGTCTATCTAACCCGATCAGATCCAACCTGCCACCCGCATACCAAGCGGCTCGTCTAGTCTTTGTGTTCTTCCAAGTTCCCTCGCCTCTTCCGCTGCCGCACCTGCGCGACGGCCTCCTGCACCTCCTGGCTGTTGCGCACGCTTCCCAGCACGAGTCCCTCCTTCATGCTCCGCCGCAGCGTCGCCACGCTCTCGCGGTCCCCCCGGAACGGCGCAAACCCCAGCTGCAGCAGTCGCGTCGCCTCCCTGTCGGCAACTTGTGACAGCTGCACAAGCTGGCCCAACCGTTGCAGACTCTGCGCACTCAGAGTCCCGGGAGCCCCGGCTGGCGAGGACCCCTTGGCAACGTCGAGCTGCGAGATAAAAATGTGGATGGTGATCGATACACGGCGTGCGAGAGAGATGATCTGGAATGGCAGCAGATAGAAGGTTTGCGAATCAGTGGAAACCTTCAGAAGGGAGCGCAGCCCTGAAGGCAGATAGGATGCAGGGTCGAATAGCGCAACCGGCTGTGTCATCAGCACAAGTTCAAGGATCATGACAGCTACACCGGTGTAAAAACGCCACTATCCACCCTCACTTGTCAGTAGCAGACAGAACCGTCGCACTCGAGACACTCACATAGCGCCCCCATGGCCCCCACAAGAAGAAGTTCATAAGCACGATTATCACAAATCCAGCGGCGTATTGCGTCAGGGCCTGTGTCAGCGCCGCATACAAGAAATCCTGCATCGTCTCGCGGTTGCGCCATTGAACCACATCAGGCCCGAACCGGTCATATGCGAATCGTCGCGCTGGATCCAGCAGCGTGTCTTGGGCCTGCTTCAAGTATACAAAGAAGGCATCTGCGCCTGCACTCTCGCCGTTCGTCACCTTATCTGGATGGTGCTGGGCAGCGAGTCGGCGAAACCGTGACTTGATGGCTTTCTCGTCGGCCCGGGGAGAGACTCCCAGGAGACGGTAAAAGTCGCCAGCAGCACGAATCTGATAGAAGCTCTCATACAGCGTGTAGAGCAGATAGGTAGTTATGACGAAGATAAAGATGCGACGGCGGTGCTTAGCGTAGCGTGGTGAACCCGGTTGAGGGCGCGGGTCGCCGGCACGGATGGTAATGCCATAGTAGACGTTTTGAAGAATTGAGGTAACATACTAGAATCGATTGTCAGCAAGCTGTAGGATTGGAAATATGAGCACGCTTACATTTGGTAGAACGGCCCAGCCGATAAAGGACAAGATGGAGGACATTTGTGTTTTCAAAGCCACCTGCACAACGGTCTTGCCATGAATATACAGGAGCTCTCACAAGACGGATAATGACGGACGTCAATCTGAAATCTGCTAAATTGTTACTCTGGGCAGACATACGGAGTACACCGTCTATCATCATAATGCGCGCGTGTCTTGGGAGTGCTGGAACCGCCAAGCTGTCTTAGTTGTCCACCGCCTTCTTCACCGCCTGCCGTTTATGCTGTGTGCCCGCACCTAAGAAAAGAAAAAAAAGTTCATGCTTGATAAGTAAAACTCGAGAATAGGAAATACTGCTGGACGGCATTCAATCTCAATTATCCTCGCCATGTCCGGAGATCCTATGGATATTGACTCGGACCATGCCGAGCCAGTATCCACCCAGGCCTCGCCAGAAAAGAAACGCAAGCACAAGCAAAAAGACCACTCGCCGTCCAAAAAGCGGAAGCATGGCGCAGGAGACTCGACGCTGATTTCGATGGACGCGACAGAGTCGCCCAAGAAGAGCAAAAAGTCCAAGGATAAACATAAAGAGAAGAAGGAGAAGAAGAAGCATGTCGTGGCAGTCTCGGAAGAATCCGACCCCAATTCTCCCTTCAAACTCGTCACGGCGACTCTCTACCTGCCTCTTTCGCCCATCTCCATCTCCCCGACCCATGCCCTCGCCTCGCTTCTCGCAGAACACCTGTCGCCGCTTCTGTTGACTTATTACCCGCCTTTCAAAGGGATCGTGCTGGCGTATTCTAATGCATCGATATCCAGCACGCCTGTCGTTCCAGGGAAGACGAACGACCACGGCGAAAACCCGCAGCCATTGACGCTCGCGAAGACGGCTAACGAGTATGGAGTTCTCTACGTCTATCTTACGGCGACTTTCTTAGTATTCCGTCCCCAGAGGGGGCAGATTTTGGAGGGCTGGGTCAATGTGCAGTCAGAAGGGTTCCTGGGGGCAGTCGTTTACAACCTGTTCTCTGTGGGTATCGAGAGACGGCGACTCCCAGCGGACTGGAAGTGGATTCCGCCAGGAGCGGAGGATGAAGGAAGCATCGACAACAAGAGTAAAAACCGATCGTCGAAGGGAGCGACGTCAGGGGAAGAGGACGAGTCTAGCAATCCCGACTTCGACCCCGAGAAGGAGCACTTTACCCCCCTGCCCAAGCCGGTGGTGCACAGTCCAATTGAATCAGCCCACCCTCTCGAAGAGAATCCAGACGACTCCGACTCCGCGACCGGATATTTTCAAAGCGCCTCTGGCTACCGCGTCCGTGGCATGATCCGGTTCCGGGTCCGCGATATCGATGTCATTCCCGGAGCAGATCCGGACCGCGGGTTCATGAGCATCGAGGGTACAATGCTGTCGCCGGAAGAGGAGGCGCGCCTGGTGGAAGAAGAGCGGACGGGAGCGTTTCGGAGTAGCAGACGAGATGTGGCAGCGATGACGGGAGCGTTGCCGTCATCGAACGGGCCTCAACAGAGCAGTGAGGCTAAACCAGCCGCAGGCGATGCTACAGATGATGCTACGGAAGGGGCTGACGCAAAGAGCAAGAAAGAAAAGAAAAGCAAGGATAAGGAGAAGTCCAAGTCGAAATCGAAAAAGGAGAAATAGTGCGCATTAATGTCCAATGTTACGGCTATGTGTTCCTTTTGAGTCTTGAGATTTAGCTGTGGCGTTGGTTTGGGTTAAAAAGCTTCTTGTTTGATTGAGATATTCTGTTTGACAATGCTGCTTGTCACATGCATATAGATTAGGTATCTTTGTGACTGATTTCAGCAGCTTACTGGATATGTATATAGAGCCGAGGAAGACCTAGGCTGTTACGTTTCTTTTTGGCATTCATGCATTTTGCATTGCTGCTTTGCAGCTACTACCCGATGTGAACTAAAAGGATTCCATCACTACCTTACCTACCTATATAGTTACGCATATTTTTGCGGTGTTACGTTTGTTACGTTCCAGACACGGATCTGAAGTGGATAAATTCTGGTTTCTTCGCGATAGATTCCATGTCTCTTGTCGAGAATGTAGGCTGGGAAGAGAAGATTCTGTTAGATAATTTGGATTAGTCTAGAGAGCATTAAAGAGAAGCTATTCAATCTCTATCTTTATAGAGTTTTGATCGGTATATAATTGTGTGATTGAAGACGGCTCCTTTCCACATGGCGAGATGAACCAGCTCTCGTCCACGTGCTTAGTCCCCGGAATAAATAGTATAGCATGGACATAACAACGATCGTGGAGGGTGTGACATAACACGACGTCCTTTCCTCACCGCTGGAGGCCCATGCAGGGGCCAAAAGACAATTGTTGGGTCCTGTTGGGTTAGACCATCTTGTGCAGGATGCCTTGAGGCCAGAAGGGGCGCTCAATCTGGTAATTGCACAGATATTCAGTTATTGACTACTAACTTCAGAGATGGTCAACCAACACTGACTAGCTGAAATTTCCACCCCAGGTTGTTGTTTTTTCCTTTGCCCTCTCCGCGCAGCTTTCAGCACCTACCTACGTTCTTAATTTCATTGTCTTCAAATTATCGTCATCTTTCCCTTGCTTGAAGTCTCGATATGGAGATCCAGATCCATCCAATTCTTCTTGTCCTCATTGAGGTAATAACCACCGCAATTGTCGTCGGCTTCACCGCTCCGTCCTCCATTCTTCGCCTCGGTGCTCTCCTCATCGTCGCTCTGTCCACCTGGCAATGCATTTCAACAGCAATGGAGTATATGGTGCGCAGCCCCTGGGCTTCTCTAGCCGGCGGTTACGCGGTCACGTTTCTCTTCCATTTCGTCGATGTCGCGCTGCTGAGTCGATGGTCCTTCAAGACCGGTGGCCCAACAATCGGACTATCGTCTCGATCATCAGCCGCGAGAAAAGAGTCTTCCGTCTACGAGCGTGATAATGGGTCCTTCTGGTGGGATAAATTCATCTTTGGGCTTGCGGTCACCTGCTCCTTTCGATTCATTGGTACGCCCGATCAAGTGAAATATGTCCCTCTGTTCTCGAATCGCGACCCCAGCTACGTCCCGTCGCGTGTCCGTTTCCTACAGAAGACCGCTCTGACGATCTTCCTATGCTACCTCGGACTGGACCTGACGACTTCCAATGCGGATCCGGAGCTCAATCTGAGGTACTTTACGCTGCGGCACATTCCTGTCTTGAGACGCCTGCACGAGATCTCTGCGGATGAGATCCTCATGAGAGTCCTAGCAACTATTGCTGCGGGCATCAGCCTGACTTCGGTCCAAAGAGGGACCTACAGCATTGTTGCGTTCCTGAGTGTCCTGCTTGGTCTCGGAGAGCCTCAGGACTGGCCACCATTCTATGGGTCTCTACTAGACGCTTACTCGCTGCGAAGATTCTGGAGGTATGTACTGTACAGTACATATAGCAATGGAGTGGATGTTCTCAAATGCTAATCCTACGACAGTCGCGTTTGGCACCAGACCAACACCCACAAACTCTCTTCCATCTCCAACTTTCTCGTGCATGATGTCCTCCGGATGCCTCGCGGGAATCTCATCGCCAGATACGCCCGAGTCGTGGCGGCATTCGCGGTGTCGGCGGTCATGCATGTCCTCATCGACATCGCGGCCGGCATCTCGATCCACAATTCGGGTGCAATCACCTTCTTCTGCACGCAGATTCTCGGGATCGTCGTGGAGGACCTGGTCGTGGGCGTGTATCGCTCCCTCTTGAGCCGCGACGGCACTCGACCGCCTTTGCTGGCTGAGAAGCTGGTCGGCTACACATGGGTGCTCGCTTTTACGGTCTGGTCCAGTCCAGTATATCTGTACCCAATGATGTATCGCGCCAACATGGGCCTGAATGACTCCGTGGTCCCATTCAGCCTTGTTGGGTTGCTCCGGTAGACAGACACCTGGACCATTCACCAGTCTAATCATAGTACGGTGTAGACGATGAATAGAGAAGTCTAGACTTGAGACTAGGCTGCAGCCGCTAATATTAGCGTGCAACTGACCTCAGTAAAAGCACATGTAATACAGTAATACTCGGTACACTGGATCGTAGATTCGTAATCGTGTCTTGGGAGTCGGCTGAGCTGGTCTAATTAGTGTCGATCCCAACAGAGATCTGTGATGCATTATTGGCTGTCAAGAGGGTACATGTCTCCTTTAGAAACTGGACATGCAGCGCCGCCGCCACCAACATCCAAATCAATTGACCGCATTTCACTATCAATTTGGGGTGGGGGCGAGGGGAATCGGCGTGGTCCGTAGACAGGTGTTCCTGGACTACGGAGTATTTGTTTCCCGCAGAAATGGTGCGTTGCAAGCAATGGAACCAATATTGATGAACTAGGTGGTTTCATGACTGAACAATATGACTGCTAGCTAAAACCATATAGCTACATAACATAGCCTACCATGATGGGAGCATAAAAAGACGAACGGGATTATTTTTTTGTCTTGAGGGACATAATAGAGGCTTTGTGAGTGGAGTGCGGCAGCGGAAGCAACCATCCATGGGTGGTGGCTAGCTACATGTACTCCGTGGGATTTTATTGCAGCGATCATGAAGCCAGAATACAGTACACATCACATACGCACTTGCCAACTTCTCACTCTCTATCTGTGTAGTTATAAATGAATATCTTGCTCCTTCTGTTTATGAATCAGGTCTATCCGTCATGGATGTACTCTTTACTTCCTGTCAGCTACCCAACTAGGAAAGTACCTGCCTATCCGAACGAGGAAGGAGAAGCTCAGCGGCCCGAGCCACAGCCCGAGCCACAGCCCCGCCACTGACAGACGGACTAATTCCGAGTTGCAACGCGCCAGACCAAAAAGGGTTAGCGCTCGCAGCTCCATGACGGCCACCATGGAAGTCTCCATCTCCCATCGCCATCTTTGTTGAACTCCGCGACGCGCACGGTGTGGTTTTCTGATTCTGATCCCATGCGAATGGTACTCTTTGACTAGACTGCCCGATCTACAGGGAGGCGGGAAAAAAGGAGAAAAAAAATCAAGACTTCCCCCTCTCTAGGTGCCTCCTCCCTCCCTCCTGCTTACTTAGGCTCCAGCGCAGCAGTAGTGCTTCACCATGCGTCTCCATCTGATCATTCTGCGCCACGGCCTGCCCGCCACGCGCATCCTCTGGACAACCTCTTCGACGCCGTCCTTTCACGCCTCGGGCCCGGGGGTGCCGTACGGTGGGCCGCCGGCCTCGTCATCCGCCATCGCGTCGACTCGTTACCCCAACAGCGCGTACGGAAATGGAGGCTACACAATCGCCCAGCTGTTGGAGGATGTGAACGAGGTTATCCCGCTGGAGACGGAAGGCAAGGCTGCGGGCGAGAATGATGAGTTCGGCGGGCAATGGGGCTTGGAAGACTACGTTGTTGAAGTCGGCGGTTTCGAGTGTCTGCATTTCATGGAGGTTGAGGGATTACTGAGAGATGGGGATGAAGTAGTGTAAGTTGCATATTCCATTCTCTCTTCATTGTGTTTCCAAGTTTTCGGAACTGACTGACGGGATTGGTTTAGGATTCGCGCCCTTCAGACCTCAGACCTGCGAGCCAGGCGCATCTCTGGTCGTCATCAAATCACGGCCGACGGCAGACATTTGATTGACGGAGTCCCATTCGGTAGACCATATCTGAAGCGTTCGACTTCTTCTAGGCCCGCTAGCCGAATTCCTCCAAGGAAGAGAAGGCGTACGATTATCTCCGGCTGGAATGACGAGTTTCGTGATGATGAGGAGGACGATGCCGACTGGCCTGACGTGAATACGGGAAGAAAGCCTACCTTGCTTGAAGAAGATTCAATCCATTCGTCAGACCAAGGAACCGTAATTAGACACCCTACGAGCGGTTTCGAGGATGTGCAGGGATCAGACAGTGATGCAGATACGTCAGATATCGACCCTGAGGAGCTGAATGAAGAACTGAAGGATCTGAGAGAGGATCTCGACGCTGCCGAAGCCCAAGAAGCCGCAGATCCGGAAAGCCCGCGTGCAACCCGGTCAGGTCGAGTGTCACGTTTAAGACATCGTGGTCCTGCTCAGGCAGCCGCCGATTCAAGTCCTTCCCGTGCATCATCTGCTTCTGCTGCCCACCCCCGCAGTGACAGCGTTGCAGAACCTTCACCAAAGTCATCCAAGAATGTCCGATTCCAGAAGGTATCCGACAGCGAGGATTCAGTTACATCATCAGTATCGGACGAATCGGAAGAAGCAGAGGAGTCTCCAGAGGAGTCTTCAGAGACCGAGGAAGAGTCCAGTTCAGAAGAAGAGACCGAATCCAGTTCGGAAGCTGAATCTACATCAGAGGCTGAGTCCAGTGATACTTCTGATGCTAGTAGTTCCGTTTCTACAACTGATACGAGCGACACAACGTCAGTATCTGATTCGGAATCGGAATCAGAACCCGAAAGGGTATCTCCACCTAAGCCAAAGGTTCAGCCTAAAATCAACCCCCCGGGTAAAGGGTCTCTGAGGACTAAGAAGAGCAACCGCCGGAACAAACTACGAAGACGATTGGCAAAATTGAAGCAGCTCGGCTACTTGCCGCCGAATGCTAACTTCGCAGACCTGCGAGCCTGGGAGGCGGCCCATGGCGGTGGAGGGCCTCTGACGGAGGTCAAAGATCTCGGTGAAAGCAGAAGCTCTCAAGCCCGCGAGCAGTCGGAATTCGAAGCACGGAGACAGCAACTACTTCGTCAGCTCGAATCTGGCGGCATCGATGTTGATGGACACTCTGAGAAGGAGAACATCCCACCCGGCAGGGAAACGAAAATACACTAAAGGAGCCACAAGGTAATGCAGTTGCCGAACCTGTTGCGGAGGTAGCAGCCGATGCTACCGTCGAAGAAACTCCAGAGACCGCGAAAAGACGAAAGCTCGACGTGGCGGGCTCGAGACGCCTCGTTTTTGGGTCACTAGGAGTGAAAGCCCCCAAATCCAAGGAGGACGAAGAAGCCACCCGGCAGAAGCTCGCAGGACCGCCTAGGCCTCAGGCCCTTCCGCAGAAAGACGTCGAACAAGCTGCCGACGAAGGGACAGGAAGTGACCTAGACGAGAACTGGCAGGAGAAACTAGTTGTCAAGGCCACCGAATGCGTTTACGAGGACATCAACTTGAACCCTCCTGGTTTCCCGTTCAAGCAACGTTGGGATGCTGAAGCACGGGAGATGATCCGCCAACGCAGAAATAATGGGAATGGAGGTGGAAATGGAAAAAAGAAACGGAAGCGAAAGAATCGGGATTGGCAGGAGGAAGGGTGGTATGACGGGGCCAACGAGGATTACGCCAACGGCGATGCTCAGCTTGAGTATGATGAGCAGCCATCACAAGTAAATGGGGCTGCAGAAGACACTACTGGGGACCAGGGGGCGCCTTCTACGGACGATCTTCCTTTGCTCCCAGACGACCTGACCTCAGTCCCAGACCTCGTGGAGGATGAAGTCAGACAAGGAGCCATCATTGCCTTTAAGCAACTCGACATGTCCAAGGCGACGAACTGGCAACCACAGATATCCAAGTATCGAGTGGCCGAGGTGGACAGCGTGATGGAGGACGGCACCATCAGCGTCCGCCTGGCGAAGCGTGATCGGGAGCGACGCGAAGAGAATGTGAATGAGGATGGTGTGCGGGAGTATAGTGGATTCGAGATGCCTGGGTTCGAGGATGAGGTGTCTGAAGATGATGGCTTCCGCAAGGTATCGTTCGGAGAGCTTATTGAACCGAAGCTTCTCCGACCGGCAGAGCGTGCAGCCGCACAGGTTGAGGTGAATGGAAAAGACGCCAGCCCGTCAGTAAATTGATTTCTCTCTTTACTTCTCGAGTTTCCCTCGCTCACTCGACCAAAGCTCCGACAGAGAAGATGCCTCCGCCCCTGCCTCCGCCCCTGATGATGGCCGCAGGGCAGCTGCGGAAGCCATTACCCCGGCTGTCGAGGTTGAACTGCCCACGATCTCGACTCAAACAGGAAATGAAATCTCCGAGATGATCCGTGATGCTGGGTTTCGATCGACCCTTGACTCGGAGCTGCAGGAACCGGACTTACTCAAGATCCAAGCGGAGTCGAACCATCAAGACACGGCAGAAGGTGAACCCAGCCCGGTCGTCCGGTCGCCAGCGTTTGCAGGATTCTCTTCCAGTCCTCCAGAAGTCGAATCCTCTCGGCCTGGTACTGGCGATGCGCAATCTCGTCCTCATTCCCCTGCACGTTCACCTTCTGCACTTGCCGATGATGGGGAGGCTGGTCAAGACGACCCGACGAAGCCACCAACCTCATACCAGATTCCACGAAGTTCCGGCTCCGACGCGGCCGCAGAGTCTCAACCCGTTGTTGACTATCCTCAGCTCCCTAGCCTCTCTGACCAACCAGAGGACCCAGCTGGCACCTCCAACCGTCTGGACGATACCGTAGAAAACGTCAGCGACGGCGAGCATGTAGGTTCGCCGCAAGAGCCCAGCGCATCCGCTATGGAGGAACCTGTCGTGGTTCTGACTTCGCCTCGTGCTGATGCTGTGCGTGAAACCCCTTCCAGCCATTCAGACGCCAGCTCGACGGTGCCAAACCCATTCTGCCTTAAAGACCGGGCTTATGAGGAACGTTTTCAGCAGGCAATAGACAAGTCTCAAGGCTCTGAGACGTTGGATGACCCTCTCGTTGGCGGAGAGTCTTCTTTCGAGCTTCCTAGCGTTGAGACGATCTTCAGATCTACCGCGCCGGCGCGCTCTACGAGAAAGCTGGATTCGCCGACTCCGAAGAGCAAGCGTAACGCATTATCCTCGCCACGCCAACGGTCACCTTCGCCGCCTATGATGAGTGGTGGCCGAGCCCTCGTTGGCGAGGAGGTTCGCAGCACCTCGCCGCCAGTGACAACCCAAGTAATCGTTGACCTCACCCGGTCAAGCCCGCCCGAATCTCCCGGGGGAAGCGACGAGGATTATGCTCGATCACGGGGCCTCCCGAGGGGACCGGGCTGGGTTCAAAAGAACGTTCCTGCTACGCGAAGACACACGCGCTCGTCGACTGGCACTCATGGGCTGGACCTCGAGAGCAGCAGCCCTCCGCGGCGGAGACGAGCAGGATTGCGGCGAAGTGGGTAGTTCTCTGATCTACGCATGAGCTTGATGATTTATTTATTTAGCGAATTCTGTGTGATATCCATGGTCTTCTCCTGTTGCTTCTATGTCATGGACCAGTCCATACCCTGTTGTTCTTTCCATGTACAAGTATTGGATGAGAATCTTGGCTATTTCTGTACGTACGTATTAATATGAGAGACAATATCGACTCCCGAAGCCTTCATCAGACTGGTTTATTCGTAGTCCTATCTGATGGTGTCATCGGCAGGGTATCCAAGGATGAGTAATGTGAACAAGGTGATTGGTCCAGCGGGCATCCCATCCGGCTGGCTGGATTGATAAGCAACAATCCACTCGGCATGTTTACAACAGTCTGCAGAGCATGGATTGCAACCTTAGAACCTGCTGATGCCACGCGAGAAAGAGAATTGAAGAATTACAGGCAATAACATGATATAGTATTGTGGATATTGCCTTCCAGTATGCCCCATAAGTCCATCAATGTGTTGACGTAAAATACAGAGCAAAACAATACACCGTACCCCGCACTGTCTGTTCTGGATGAGGTCAATCCCTGCTCCCACGTCTCAGAACAACGACCTTATCTTGCTCGATTGACTCGATGATCATCAATTATTAATCCTCAGATCCAGGCAATACGCCTGTTTGGGTATGTCGTATCCAAATCCATGGATCCTCCTCAACGGGCTCATGCTCATGCAACCGTGGATCCTTCGTCATCTTCTCCTGCTACCCCGCCCCCTGCTGGCTTCGTCGTCACCATCCAATTATAATTATTGTCGCCGGCAGAATAATATCAGCCTGGCCATCCCGCCGCCCCGGCGGTCGTCATCATCGTCTTCTTCGTCTTCTGCCTGCCCCTCTTTCTCTCGCTGTAGCTGTAAGCCACGCTGCTGTGTCTCGAGCGGTGCCTGCTGCTGTCCTATCTCTGAAAAGAGACGTTTTTCGTCAAGAGATTGGATACGCTCGTTGTCGTCGTCGTTCTCGTCCAAGGCGCCTATCAGCAGTCCTACTTATCTTAATAATAATTATAACCTCCTGCTACCGTCGTCATCAATTCTACTACTCTCTTCTTCTTCTTCCCCTCCGCACATTTTATTAACCCGTCGTCACTTCGCTTCTTCCTCGCCAGCCGCGCTGTCCTCGACGTCTGCCAACATGGCTACGGAATACAAGCTCAAGGACATCCAGTCCCTGGCCAGCATCCCGAACTTCGAAAAGGTCGAGTCGGAGGTCGAGGGCCTGGAGAACGGAAAGGTGCTGGTGGTGCGGGTCAATGACGACTTCCACGCGCTCAGCCCCCGGTGTACGCATTATGGCGCGCCGCTGAAGCTGGGTACGGTCTCGCCGGATGGGAGGATAACGTGTCCGTGGCATGGAGGTAATTCTCCTCTCAACAATTATACATACATTACAGAGGCGACTGCTAACGTGCTGCAGCGTGTTTCAGTGTCACCACTGGAGATGTCGAGGATGCCCCCGCCCCGAATGCGTTGAACAAATACGAGGTCTACGAGAAGGACGGCGCAGTGTACATTCGTGGAGACCAGGCTGCTATTCTGGCTGGCCAGAGGAACCCCAACATTCAATGCGCCGTTGCGGCGCCGGAGAAGGTGGTCGTTATTGGAGGGTATGTTTGTCGTTCGTTATTACTTCGCTGGGAGACTGTTTGATTCGACTGACATATGTCTTCAGAGGGAGCGGTGCGCTGGGTGCTGTGCAGACCCTACGAGAGCTGAACTTCAAGGGGAGCATTACCATTATCACCAAGGAGCCGAACCTGCCTCTTGACCGCCCCAAGATCTCCAAAGCGCTCATCAGCGACCCGAAGAAGATTGAGATTCGCCCCGCGGAATGGTACAAGGCCGCGTCCATCGACATCGTCCACGACGAGGCGACCGCTGTGGACTTCAGCGCAAAGACTGTCTCGACCAAGTCCGGCACGTCGTACCCCTACACCAAGCTCATCCTGGCCACCGGTGGTATTCCCCGGCAGCTGCCACTGGAAGGATTCAAGGAACTGGGGAACATCTTCCTCCTCCGATTTGTCACGGACGCGCAGGCCCTTGTTAACGCCTTGGGCCAGGGCCGGAAGAAGGTCGTCATTGTCGGCAGCTCCTTCATCGGCATGGAAGTCGGCAATGCGCTGGCTAAGGACCACGACGTGAGCATTGTGGGCCAGGAGGCAGCGCCTCTGGAGCGGGTGCTGGGCGTGGACGTCGGCAGGGTCTGCCAGAAGAACCTGGAGAAGGCTGGCGTGAAGTTCTACCTGTCAGCGGGCGTGGACAAGGCGACTCCTTCCGAGGCCGACCCGAGCAAGGTCGGCGCAGTGCATCTGAAGGATGGAACTGTCTTGCCGGCGGACGTGGTCGTCCTCGGGGTGGGTGTGCGCCCAGCCACGGACTTCCTGAGAGAGAACCCGGCCGTGACACTGGAGAAGGACGGCTCTTTACGGACGGACGAGTCGTTTGCCGTGGCCGGCCTGGGCGGCGACGTGTTCGCCGTCGGCGACATCGCGACGTATCCGTACCACGGGCCGGGCGCGGAGCCAGGCACGGGCACTCTGCTGCGGATCGAGCACTGGAACGTCGCGCAGAATGCCGGACGCAGTGTGGCGCGGACGATCGTGCATTCCTTGTCGTCGTCACAGCCGCTCAAGCCCAAGGCGTTCATCCCGGTGTTCTGGTCGGCGCTGGGGCAGCAGCTGCGGTACTGCGGCAGCACGGCGGGCGGCTATGACTCGGTGGTGCTGAAGGGCGAGCTCGAGAACGCCAAGTTCGCGGCGTACTACTGCAAGGGCGAGACGGTTGTGGCTGTTGCGACGATGCAGAGTGACCCGATCATGGTCAAGTGTGCGGAGCTGATGCGGCGGGGGAACATGCCGTCGAAGAAGGAGATTGAGGATGGGGTGGATGTGCTGGCTGTGGGCGTGCCCAAGAGCGTTGCTATATAAGAAGCCAGCGATGTATATACGCAGATATTTTGGGTACATGTTAGACATGTTATACTCTATACCATCTGTCTATGAATTCGATATCTTGCCTCAGAATATAACCCTACTATCTGTATTATATAGTGTCTAAGGCATTCAATATGAACTCTTCTTCGATATAATGCATTAATTGCTAGCTGTTAGGAAACAAACTGTACTGCTAGATAGATGCTTAGCAACTATCTCAGAGAACCGCACCTGGGCAAAGGTATTGTTAACGCAGTCAATTATTGGCAGTGTTTGAGGGCTTGCGATCTGGCTGTGAAAGCCTGCAGCTACCTCAGACGATGAAGACGATGGAAATCCATCAAACATAGGAAGGATGTCTTCAAAGGCTTGTTATATTATAAAAGGACTATATTCTGTTCTTCGTTTCTTAGGTAGTTACCTACGTACAGTACGTAATTCTTCCCATTAATAGGTTCGTTAGCATGCCAAATGACTGCACATCCCCAGCCATTGGCAGGAGGAATCTCTCCCATAATTAATTAATTACATCTAATCTAAGTCTAAAAATCCCACCTGATTATCAACCAAAGAGATTAATCTAAACGAATCTAAACTCCGCAGCCCAGCCCAGACCAGACCAGACCAAGATCGATCCGACACTCCGCGCCACGGCGCTCCACCATCACGAAACAATCATCGCTTTAGTCCGTTTCAAGTTGGTCTATTTCGAGGTTAATCAGAGGGATCCGCGGGATGTCGGCCCCGAAACCCTGCATAATCTTAATTAACCTCTTTTTTGGGTTCATTCTTGTTTCTCTTCCTTTTACCTTTAGGGATAGATGCCCTGGATCCTCGGAATGTTGTTTGTTTATATTACTACTGTAATATGTGATATTGTATTGCATTGAATTGACTCGGATGATCGGATTCCAGTAAATACGGAGTAAACGACTACGTCCTCTGAGCAATATTCCACAAATCAATTGTTGAAGTTGAAGACGTCTGTACTATCCACACTGTTCCATACGCTCGATCGACGCGGAGAACCGGCTAAATTAAGATCGATTGTTGCCCAGATGATCATGCAGCCAGATGAAACGTCCATCAATTCATCGCTTTTGTGGCCTGATGTCGGAGTCGTCATGAGGTGACGCGTTTTTTCTTTTCCTGATGATTATAGCCAGAATGCGGGGAAGCTGTCTTGTCTAACAGTCTACGAGATGGAAGATGGGCTATATAAACGGTCTGCTTTCCTTTCAGCCAGGTTCTTTTTTTTCTGTTCTGATTCAGTCAGTCAGATAGACAGACAAAGTCAAGCTGATCCCAGTTCCTCCATTCCTGCAACATGCTGTCTTCGAAGGCTCCTGTCACCCTTGCCTTTGCAGGCCTCGCTGGCCTTCTGTCCGCCCCACTGGTCAAGGCCCATGGTTTTGTCCAGGGCATTGTCATCGGTGACCAATTGTACGTTCCTCTTTTAACCCTATCGATTGATTGACTGCCTGCCTGCCTGACTGATGCTGACTATTCCAACAGCTACAGCGGGTACATCGTCAACGAGTTCCCCTACGAATCCAACCCACCCCCCGTCATCGGCTGGGCCACGACAGCCACCGACCTGGGCTTCGTCGACGGCACTGAATACCAAGGACCAGACATCATCTGCCACCGGAATGCGACGCCCGCGCTGCTGACAGCCCCCGTGGCCGCCGGCGGCACCGTCGAGCTGCAGTGGACGCCCTGGCCGTCCAGCCACCACGGGCCGGTCATCACGTACCTGGCCAACTGCAACGGCAACTGCTCGACCGTCGACAAGACGCAGCTGGAGTTCTTCAAGATCGACCAGTCGGGCCTGATCAACGACACTGACCCGCCGGGCACCTGGGCGTCCGACAACCTCATCGCCAACAACAACAGCTGGACCGTGACCATCCCCAGCACCCTCGAGCCGGGCAACTACGTGCTGCGCCACGAGATCATCGCCCTGCACTCGGCGGGCAACAAAGACGGCGCCCAGAACTACCCCCAGTGCATCAACATCGAGGTCACGGGCGGCGGCTCGGTCGAGCCGACGGGCACGCTGGGCGAGGATCTCTACCACGACACGGACCCGGGCATTCTGATCGACATTTACGAGCCGATTGCGACGTATACCATTCCAGGACCGCCTGAGCCGACGTTCTAGATGTCAATTCGGTGGTGTCTGGCAGAAGTTGTCAAGCGCGTGCTTTAGGTGAGGAGTCTGCATGTCATCATCGATCCAGCTGTTCTTCTGCCAGGTTGCGTCGAGTTGAGAAGTGCATGTATTTATGTCATTCCTATCTATCTTTATCAGTATATAGTCAATTCGAATGACAATCTGTATGACGAGTTCGATGAAGTTCAACCAACGTGTTGCATGACATATCTTCCTAAAATAAAAAAAGACAAGGAGAGAAAGAAAGAAGCAATGAATGAGAAATGCTCATGTAAGTATAATACGTACGTAATGTACATCCATTATATCTGGATCATCCATTCATTTCCCTACCCATGCTGCTTCTTCTTTTTCATCATCATCCAAATCAGCATGAACTACCATGCTTGCCCGTTTCGAGAAGATCATGTTCAGCTAGCTGAGCTGAGTTATATAGATAGATAACAACCGTCTATTCGTCATTCTATCGAGCAATGTTATTAAGCTATTCGTTGATGCCGTTCAGTTTTGATCAATTAATTAGTCGATATGGCAGTAATGATACATACCCGCGCAGTTCATTACAGCCTGCTATCGATATTCTTCTCGCTGCAGCTGCAGCTGCAGTACTTCTCGCTGCTGCTCCCGAAGCGACGTGTATGTAATCGTCGGCCTCTGCCGATACCGTCCGTCTTCCATGTCGTTCTCGTGCGCGCGGCGACGGCGCAGGTAGTATGCGATGATAGCTATGGCGATGGAGACGCTGGCGCCGACGAGGCTGCAGATGAGGCGGATGATGGTGGGGTCCATTTTGTGTTCTTAGAGTAGAGTAGAAGAGTACAAGAAAGGAAAGAAAGGAAGAAAGACAAACAGCAACAACGATGACAATAACGACAATACTTGGAAATAACAATCAAAAAACAACACAGATCGACATAACACAGAATGGATGGTCCGCCAGCCTGCCCGATGGAGTTAGTTGGTTAGCAAGACTAGTTTGATGATCGTCCCTGTGACAACTGCCTAGAGTAATTGTCATGATGATCATCAATCGTTGTTGTTGGTAATGTTGTTATCGTTATCTATGGGAGTAATTATTAGCTCGAGTCTTCTAGTAATAATAGTCAGGCAGGTTTATAAATAGGCATATATACTACTGTAGGGATATGCTATTGCTAATAATAGCAATGGTACTGTAGCTATCAAAGCTCTTTTTAACCATATGAATAATACAGAGAGTATGGAGTATTCTTTTCCGAATCGCAATAACAATAATAATAGCCGCCGATAGATAAGATATGTGCAGTATTAACTTGAGTACTTAGTGACGTTCTTGGTTTCAATATTGACATTTATATCCATGGATAGATAATTAATTTATTTGCTGTTGACGGATGCTAACATGTTGTACAGTACATTATTAGCCAAGGAGCGAATGCCATAGGCAAATATCTTCTTTTAAATCTGAGTTTTCAACACTGAGTTATAACCTGCAGTGTAGCTAAGGCACATATGTTTATTTTTCTTAATCAAACCTGTATATCTCCATGTCTTGCAACTGGTAAGACCTTTCTTTTTGGTATATTCCGGGGTATATTTATTTGTTTATTCATTTATTCAATGTTAGTTCTTCAGTTACCAAAAAAAATCTATTGTAGATTAAATAATTCTAATTAAGACTCATACTCGGATTTGTATTCAAGTAGTATGTGTCCTGACTGAAAGAATACAGTAGGCATGAGAGAAGGTACGTGTGTATTTATAGTGGACTATCGTGCTGTGTTTTTCTTTCTTTTTATGTCCTTTTTTTTAAAAAAAAATTCAGTTTTTCTCCCTTTTTTTGTTTATATTTATTCTTTTCAACGGATTCACGGATTTCTTTGTATCAGAGAAACATATGATATCGTAACCCCAATAAGCTATGGACGGGAGTATGTTTATCCATGCCGACGATGATCGTCATTGTGGATGGGAATGGTATCATCTTCACAGACCAGCAATCGCCAATTCTTTCCTGCAACAAGTTTAATGAATTCATCAGAACAATCTTCATTTCTCAGTCAATTAATTGATTAGTTGTTGATTCCTCAATCAAGCTATCGGATAGATAGATCGTTTACCATATCTACTCACCATGTACGCAACAATATGTACTGTACTGTCTTTCTGTACTGTACTGTACATAAATACATGCATGCAATTATGTGTATGCTCATGCTATACAGGCGACAGCGCGGAGTCCTTCCGTGATCTTGGCCGCTCGCCTAAAACGACAAATCGTGTCGCAGCACGATGAGGCCATCACGCCGATATTGACGTATCGTCTGTGAGCTTCTTGTCTTCAACGAACTCCCGTGCGTCCTTATCTTCTAAACTGTCAATTGTGGAGTACGAATATGCTAGTCCGTTCGAGGACAAGAAAAATGAAGTGATCTGTGCCGTGTGGAGATCTTATTATCATCCTGTCAGGATGTTCGACAGACATGCTTAATTAAAGCGTGGCTTGTCAAGTGTGTCGTCTGTCGAGACTACATAAGATGACAATCTCCAGATCTGTGTTTATGGATAGTGAATTCATTTCTCTTCATGTCCAGTTCCCATCGTATACCTGATAGATAATCTATACCTTATCTATCCATCCTTAGCTCCTGTATCTGCTAGCATGACACGATATAATCACTAAACAAACGACAAAAAGCTTCGTCATGACAATCCCAAATCAACAATCGCAGTCTCCTCCCCGTCGGTGGTACCACTGGTACGCGCCAGACGACTCTCCGGCCGAACGCAGGCTGATCCTCAAGCTGGACGCGCTGATCGTGCCGTATGCCGTGGTGGTGTACTGGTTGAAGTATATTGATCAGACGAATATCAGTTAGTCTACCATCTACCATCTACATATGTAATGTACAGTACATTACATATACAGTACATATGATGCTCACGCTCGTGCAGACAATGCCTACGTTTCCGGCCTCGCCGACGACCTCAACTTCCACGACAACCAGCTGGTCCAGTTCCAGACCATGTACATCGTCGGCGCCGCCGTTGGACAGATCCCTTTCGCATGGATTTTCCCCCGGGTACCAATGCACTGGCTCGTGCCGGGCATGGATCTTGGCTGGGGGATTTTTACGCTGCTGCAGTATCGTGTGAGCAGCTATGCGGAGGTGATGGCTTATCGGTTTTTGGTGGGATTATTCGAGGTGTGCCCTACTTTTCAATCGTTCTTCGTTCTTCTGTGTCGTTTTTTTCTGACATCCTTTCTGGCTCTAGAGCGCCTACTTCCCCGCCGTCCACTACGTGTACGGCTCCTGGTACCGCGCCGACGAACTCGGCCGCCGCGGAGGCGTCTTCTACGTCGGGCAGATGCTGGGCATTCTGACGGCAGGCCTCATCCAGGCCGGCGCGGCGCAGCATCTCAACGGCGTGCACGGGCTGGCCGGTTGGCGGTGGATGTTCATCATCACGGCGGTGATGACCCTGCCGCTGGCCATCGCAGGGTTTCTCGTCTGGCCGGGCACGCCGGACAAGCCGAATCGCCTCGTGCTGAGCGAGGACGATATCACGCTGGCGAAAGCCCGTCTGAGGAACCACAGCCACCAGACGAAGTACTCGTGGGGCACCCTCCGCCGTGTCTTTACAGACTGGAAGGTCTACGTGCTGACCTTCTGGGACATCCTGTTCTGGAACTCGGCCGTCTCCAGCCAGGGGGTGTATCTGCTCTGGCTCAAAAGCCTCAAGCGGTACAGCACGGCGGAGCTGAACCAACTCTCGACAACATCCCCCGCCCTGGGCATCTTCTACGTGCTGTTCATCTGCTTCGGCGCTGACCTCTTCCTCACGCGGGCGGGGGCCATCACGCTCGCACACGTCTACAACAGCATCGGGCTGCTGATTCTCGTCATCTGGAACGTGCCCGAATCAGCGAAGTGGTTCGCCTTCAACACCAACTACGCCTGCGTCGCCATGTCGTCGGTCCTGTACGGCTGGGCCAACGACATCCTCAAGCACGACGTCGACGAGCGCGCCACGACGCTCATCGTCATGAACACCATCGCCCAGTCCACCACCGCCTGGACGTATCTGCTGACGTTTCCAACGTCCGAAGCTCCGCGGTTTCCGAAGGGATATCCGTTTACGTTGGCCATGTCTTTGGCGCTGATTGCGTTTACCTGGGTGGTCAAGTATCTGCATGATCGGCAGGAGTACGTCATCATCGAGAAATCCAGAAATAAAACAGGCTGACGGATTTGTTTCACAGGAGACAATTCTCAGAGAAACAGCGGGCAGCACTCGCGCCAGACAGCGAAGAGGGGATCAGCTCTGCTATTGAGCATGCTGTCGCGACGGAGACGGAAGAAGCAGCAGATACCAAGGCAGGGAGGTTTCGGAGAGAAATCTC